CGTATATCATGTTTGATATCTTTCATATCTTTTGCGAATACACCTAATTCTACTGATTGTCGTAATAAAAGACTTTGTTGTTCACGTAAACAATTGTTTTAACTTATATAATAATCCAACAATTTTTCATTTGAACAAGCAGCCATTTTTGGTTCATTTTCTTCGATTTGTGCTTGTATTTGATCATACATTGATCGCGAAGCCGAGGTTATTATTCTGAGTTCATTTGTTTGATCGATGACTGCTGATAATTGTTTATTACGTTCTCCCGTTGGTTTTGATGTCGATGTTAATACCGCTGTTGATAATGATGAAGATATTATTCGAGATTTCGGTGATGGTTTTGTTGTTGTCGATGTTTTTGAGTTTTTTTCTTTTTTTTACCACCGTTGTCCATTCTCGGAATGCATTTTGTGCTTCACCACTTTGAAATGCTTCAACAGTTTTATTAACATCGTAGTTGTTTGATTCTAACATTAACTCAATCTGACTTTGTTCGACCGCGATATTCAATCAGACATTGCAATACATTATTATACTCTTTACCATTCATCTATTATCCAGAAAAGAAAATATACTAAGAAGTTGTATATCAACTACATCAGAATATTCTGGTCGAGAACTCCAGATCAAAAATGCTAAATGAAACTGTATCAGAAGGCTTCTCAGAATGAGTCTGCAAGATAAAGAAAGTTCGGTCTCCTTCCTTTTAATGAAGAAAAGTAAACAAAAATGAAAACATCAAATTAGAATAACGAAGACAAGATTTATCGAATGTGAAGATCAGTTACTTAGAGAGCATATGAAGAAAATGTTTAAGTAGCTGAAACAATAATTTTCTCCTTCTAAAACAATAGTAAAACATGAAAAAAACTTTTAAAACGAACGTGTAAATATTTGTCCATTGAGTACGAAGTACACCCTCTTTACTTTCGAGCCGGGAAGCGCTAAATTTTGTAACTATACCTGCAGTCTCGGCAACAATGCTGATCCTTACTGTCATGTTGTAATTTTTCGTTGAGTGTAGCGATAATTTAAATGTTTAACTGTTGCATGTTTCTTCGTATGGGAAATCAATAAGTTTGATTTTTATGTTTGGTCGTTCTAACATTTGAAATGAAACACACGTATTTGAT